CAACCACCTTCTTGTGGAACTATTATATCTCGAGCCGATGGATTATTAACAAAATTATCATAGTCATCCTCATCTTCCCAAGGAAATTCATCATACATCAAATAATAGAACATAATACCGGCTGCTCAAGCATCCGATTTCTTATGAAGATGCCGAGTTTTAAGTTTTATATTTGGATTGCGTTGAAGAAATTCAGGTGAAGCAAAATATTTTGTATAAGTTTTATTACAAGTGACAGTTATCTGAGAATGCGTAGTGTTTAATTTTTCAATAGTTCCAAAATCAATCAACTTGATACAAAAGTAATCGGGCATCTGAACAACAACAAGATTTTGTGGTTTAATGTCTCCATATATAATATTTAACTTTTCCAGAAAAATTAATGTTCGTAACACATACATAATAATCATAGTACTAAAGTATAATTTCTCTTCAAAATCTCCTTTTTCTGCCATATCAGGCCAAAGTTTATAAAGATCACAATGTGCTAATTCTAAGGCTATATAAATACCATCATTGCTCATCTTACAACCATAATATTCAAAAACAGGGTGATTATCTAATTTAATTTTTTGTACTAATTTTAGAAATTGAATTTCATTGTTACTCTGACTTTGAATAACCGTTGAATTTGCCAATACTTTAATAGTTACCGTATGATGGTTTTTTGTATTTTTACCTTTGTAAATTTCTCCAAATCCACCACGACTAACATATTCTCGAATACTATATACAATACCTTCAATTTCAATTTGTTTATGTTCTTTACGAAGAACTTTTTCTTCTTGCGTTGCACGCACTAATTTACATAAGATTTTACCCATATATCCAATAAAATGATCCTGATATTCTTTATGATTAATCTGTTGTTGGCAAAGACGATTCTCTAACTCTGCATGTTGCTTCTTGAGTTGTTCAAGTTGACGTTCCATGACACTTTTTTCCTGTGCTACTTGGTAATTCTTGAGCTTTTCAATATCTTGTCGCAGGATCAGGTTCTCTTTTGTTGCACGCTGTTCATTACGTTTGTATTGTTCTTTCAATTCTTCTAATTCTAATTTTGAATTTGTATGTCCCATAATAATAGATTTCTTTTAAATAATATAATGAAAATGATAATATAAAACCAAAAACAGCAACAGTAAATATTTTTGACAATGTTGGAAAAAGCCAACATATGTTAGTTGTTTATCGAGATGG